TGTGGAGACCACTCCCCTTTGTTGGTTGCGCCAATCGGGAATCGAACCCGAACCTTTTGCTTGGAAGGCAAATATCCTACCGTTGGACTATTAGCGCTTATTGCTTGGAAGTACTTTTTATTTGATATATATAAAGTATCATAGATAAAACGACTCCGAAGAACATGGCTGTTCCTCTGCCTTTCAACCAAGCCAAGCCATGTACCGAAACACGAATTTTGACGTTTTCCCCTTCCAATCGTCGTCGCGATCACGCCTGAATCATTGTAATTCCTCTTCTCTGTTTTTTTATCGGTCCTCTTGGCTGTCTGATTTGGATGTCTTCACCTCTGCGGGACGTTGTCCCATTGCTGACCGTTCCGCTTCCGCGCCTTTCCCCAACGGGCAGACTCAATTTCATCCAGCCTTGCTGCCGCTCAGTTGCTCATGACCTTGAAGTGTCCAGTTTGATTGGAGCGAGCTGCGCTTGCTCCTGACAAACCGAAGTGGCACGTGATTCTCCTGTACAAGTTTTTGCACTTTATCCCATGCGAGATGAAACTGCGCTCTTCCTCCCTCTTTGTACTCGTGCTGTTTGGAGCTGGTTCTGCTTCTGTTTCAAAGTGGATGAGTTTTTTAAAGTGCTGTGGACACTCTTCGAACGTCGCTCTGCGCCATGACGAGCAGTTCAAAAGATCGAGTTCGCTCGATGTTCGGCGAGCCGAACCCGATCTCGAGCAGTAGTTTTAGGTAGCGAACTTTTTGTACTCGAATACGAGCCGAACTCGAGCATTTGGGTGCTCGAACTCGATCACTGAGGTGCAGCGAGCAATGCTCGACCACGGCCCACACACAAAAATACCCAATTCACCCCCCCAGCCATCCTCTTACCAATAAAACATGGCGAAATCAATGAAAGTTATGGATTGGATGCGTGATGGACTGGAGGGGTTGATTGGCGAGGTCCGATGTCAGACCCCGCCCGTCACTGGACTGGGCGAACGGAAGATTGATGCGGGGCTTCCAGCCCTCTCGTTTGTCTCGGACTACATCATGATATGTGAACGATGGAAAAATGGCAGATATTTGGATGGGGCAGATCTGGGTCCGTGTGAGTGTTCTCGGATACTGTTGCAATGCTGAATCGCTTGTACTAGACGCAGTTCTTCTCCAACCAGTCAGAAATTGCAGATTCCAATCATCCCAATATAGTCGATTCAGCCGCTACTGCTATTTAGACAAATTGACGTTTGCGTCAAACCTCGCAGTCAACAACATTCTGATCTCTCACACCAACTTCTCCACCAACTTCTCCACCAACTTCTCCACCAATTTCGAGATCTGTTCCCTCCTAAAATGAATCGAAAATGTCGAACGCAATGAAAACATGTTCTGAGTGGGTGGTGGACACTGTGGAGTCAATGGGGCTTGGTGAAGGTGAATGCATATGGTGTTCAAAATCATTGTGGGGACTTTCTGTGCCGGGGACTCCGGTTTGCGTTTGTATTCTCGCTCAAGAGCACCAGCAACTAAGAGACGTGCAGCCTGTGTGGTTGAACATCAGTGGTTGGTGGCCCTCAAGAGGAAATTGTGTCATATTTACTGTTCACAACCCCTGAACTGTAGATACATATGAAATCAGCACGCTTCACTGTATAATGAACCAAATTCAATTTTAATATATTTTTGAGGTTGAGGTGTGTTCTGTGTGCCCCATACAGTGAGCCGCGAGCGCTAGATAATGGTTCGCATACCCAGTTTTTCAAATATCATTCAAATCAGAGTCCCATTGGACATCACCAGTCAATAATTCGCATTGATAAGTCTCTACTTTGTAACTTGAATAGGACTACAACTGATATTCTTGGCTGAAACTGTAAAAATTGCGAGATGCTCGAAAGATGCTCGAGGCTTCAGGAGAGGCTCAAGCTCGAGGCTCGGTGGCTCGCTTAGAAGAGCTTTTTATGTCTGATGTTCAGCTCGAGCTCGGCTCGTCATGGCGCAAATCCACACTAGAATCTGATTTGTTGCATGTTGCGAAAAATAAGTTACCTACCAGTGACCCTAGATTTTATTCCAATCATTGATTGGCTGTAAACACAGCAAGCTACAGATCTGAAGTCTCTTGGAGAATCTACATGTGCATTTAGCATTAGATCATGGAATGATGCCACAGCTGCAGCCTTGCGCACTTATTAGCCCACAATCTTTCAGCTTTCAGAATAAGCTGCTTCTGTTGCAGTAAACCAGCAGATTTAAATGCCTTCTTATTCTGACTGAGTAAGAAGAACAAACTGTCAACTTCAATCCACTGGATGCAAGTGACACCTTCTTACACCATGAATTGGGCATAAAGGGATTTGATTCCTATTATTGGCTTTTTGCCATTTGAAGTATCAGAGACAAAGGTTGGAATTGTTTTGCAGATAAACTTCCTCAAGCTTTTGTTTTTCCAAAACAACAATTCTGGCTGTGTCTATGAAGCAATCACCAATATTTTGAGCTTTAAATATGTCTACTTGGAAGGTAAGAATTAAGGACGTTCTCTTACCAGTGTTTTGTAGTCTCTTTTTGGTGAATCAACTTTAATAGTTGGTATGGTTGAGAAGCTGGCTTCTTCATATTCCATATTCAGGAAGTTGAGAGTTCAAGCAAGATAATGAATGTCACCCTAATCTGTTCTCAATATTTGATGTGCTGCACAAACCATCTTTTTCAAGCATATCTAGGGGCTGAGTAAAAAGCTCTGCAATCCCCCCAGCAATAATTTAAGACCTGGAGATTGCTGGGTGACGTAATGTAAATCTTACCGGATAACTGTTCATTGGCTTTCAACATTTCAATTATGTCAGATGTATAAATATTATGATGGTGGAGGGGATGAACAGTTGAGAATATAAAACAACACTTGCCAAGCAGCAAGCACAGAGCACTGGTACCTTCAACTAGAGAGACCCAGTTATCCACAGCAACAGAGTCCTCAAGATATAGAACATAGAAAAAGTATTCTCTGGAACAAAATCTATTAATTGGAGCAAGAAAGACAACTGAATCATCGCCCCCTTGTGGCTTCCAGTGTCCAAACCTTTGCTTTGACTCCATTGGAACTGTCCTCCCTCACACTGATTAGAGAGACCATCTGATTGTGTTTTGGCCGTGGATGTCAATCTGGGTTTGCGCATTCTGTTGTGTGTCAATGACAAGGAAGGACCTTTTTCCTGCTGGAAAAAGAACGCGACCAAAAAGGTCGGCATCATTTTTTTAGCGAGAGTTGATGTGATGTGACGATCATTCCATCTTGCATCTGACCTTGAATTTGGGTGATTCCCCGAATCGACCAGGAGAGTCTGGTCTCTCAGTGGTGAAGGAGAACTGTGGTATTCGTGCACAAGGCCTGCTTGCCGCACCCAAATGAACACTTTGCTTGTCCAAAACTTCTGTTACTACAACTTCAGTAAGCAATACTCCCAAAATTCAGTATTACTGGTCGTGCTTTCTGTTGTGGAACAGAGCAGCTTGCTCCTATTTGCTCCTTGAGCAATATCTTCAAGCTGGCATAATTTTCATGCACTAACATGCAGACGGCATGTATTCCACCCTAAGCGGTTGCATGTTTGAGAACATTTTGGTGTGTTTGAGTTCCGTGATCCATCAGCCTGTACGACATTACGCACAATCAGTCAGGATTCCAACGTCAAATCACAGAGATCCACATACTAAATTTGACATCAGAATCCTGCTTAATCAGAAATACAAGCGCTTTCTGGGAATCAGTGCGGGCATGAAGACTGACATAGGGCTTTTGCCTCTGGAACACTTACGACCTAGAGCTTTGAGTAGCAGCAGGCAAAATGAAACGCGGACGTGATCCTGGGTCTGATGGAAGCTCGCAGAATGAGCATGATGCGGTCTCCCATGAGTGGTGATACGGTGCTCGGCGTGCAAGTTGTGTCTTCAGGTGCATCCGCTCAGGATTTTAATAAAAACAGGGACTGCGGATTGTGAAACCCCATCCTTGCAATGTAATGAAGGCCTCTATCTTTAGGGCCACCTGCATCAACAGAATGCGTTTGCGTAACACCCGCACCCCAGACTCCATTCCTGTCACCTGCGCTCGGAGCTAACTGCCACATTATCACGCCTACTGGGAAGCATCAAGCACAATGTACTTTTCTCAAGTCTTGAAGTGAGCCCAATGTTGTAGGGAAGGGGGAGCTCTGGGCCTAGGAAGGTGCGGTTTTGGGGAATACACGCTCAAAACGCTTAACGCAGCATTCACCAAAATCCAAGTGTCCACCAGCCCTCACCAACACCAAGGTTTGCACCGGGTGTGATAAATAGGACACAAAACTACGCCAATGTGCTGTACTGCATCACTGAGGGCACATGCTGAGTGTAGACAGTAGAATCACCCTCCGAACTATTGACTCGTGCCTTAGAAACAAAACAGAAGTGTGATTTTATGAATACAATTCTAGTATAGTTTCACATTGTCAGTGGTGTACTGTCTGTAATGTAGGATGCTACGAATGTTGAGTTTTGTATTGGGAGTTTCACATGGAAAGCATTGTGAGGGTCAGTAAATCCAGCAAATTCCACTTACTCTGTTGGCTGACAGCGTTGGAGACTCTTTCCCGTGCTCCTGGCCTGCCAAAGTAGAGTATGGAGGTTTCTGGGCAAGATAGAGACATTGCTCAAAGTTTGTCAGAAAATAGTATTTGCAGGGGTCAGGAAAAAGTCGATCAGCACTGGGTCGGAATAAAGTCATTATTTAGCCGCGTCAGAAAGAAGACACTCAGGGTCATGAAGAAGACACCCGGGGTCCGATTAAAGACACCTGGGGGCAGAATCAAGAAATATTTCAGACTACGCTTGTTGGCATTGCAGTATTAATACAACTTAAATTCATTGCAGTCTCCCCAGGAAACATTTCTCCAACATCTTGCTGTACTACCAAAAACTGTGACGTTGATGGAGGTCAAGGAATTGGCAAAACAATGGGGGGAAGTCTACACTCCCATTAATCAATGGTGTGAATGACATGAATGCCACTCAGGGATGGACAGATAAGAAAAGGGCCCATGCCTGCGAGTTGATAATCCCAAGTGAGTTTGATTG